TAAGAATCAGCAATTTTTCTTCTCCTTACAGGCCCTAATGATTGTGGTATTCGTGTCGAATTTGAAGATTTCAAAAACGACGGTGACCTTTTTAGACGACAAGATTTCAGATAGTCGCGGTATTAGCAACTGAACCGCACCGTGCAGTATCCCTCGCATCTCGTTCCCTGTGGATGCTGGGGCGTGTCAGGGGAGAAGGAACGCTTGCTAGGCATGGCGCCAACCCGTTCTCCTCAAATTGCTGAAGAGCGGAAAACTACAACAATTCATGGGAGGCATGCAGGCGGTGCGTCAACTTGCAAAGTCCTTGCACCCTGAAATGCCTCAGCAATCGCAGCGGCAAGACTGGATACAGACCGTATCAGCTCTTTCCTATATATTTTGGGGTACATCCATTCTTACGCCTCTTACCAGCTCATTTCAGTTGATATCACCTTCTACCACACATAACCAATATCCACATCAACAGCCCCCAATCCCTTCTGAATTAGTTGCCGGAACCGACGTTCCCTCCAGCTGTTGTGACCAGTGCGGCGAATTAGTTGGTACAAGCACCTTTCACCAAAGAATGTCCTGCCGTTAGGGAAAACTTTGCAAAATGTCACCCTCTCCCTCAAAACTTCCTTCCCTGGTGTGACTTCCATTCTCTTCCTCGTAATTTTCTTTTTTTAGGGGGGGGGGAGGGGGAGAGGGAGAAACTGGAGCGTTTTCAACCTACGAAAAGTGAGAACCGGGAACATCTTCCTCAAGGACAAGACCCATTCCCTCGGGCACCTAAATACGACCCCTCCTCGCTGGGAATTCCCAGCGTACGACGTCCCCTGCCCTTCCCACCATTAATATCATTTATTAGTTTGGGCGCTGTGCGGCTGAATCGAAGGAACTTGGGTCTGAAAAGACTACAGATATGCTTCATTGGCCATTCCATGGGATTCCGAAGCAGCTGAAGGTAAATAACTCCTGCATAGTTCTGAATAAGTAGAACAGGTTTTTGAAAAGACAACTATAAGTTTTGACCCTGCTGGGGAGGGGGTACGCAGAAGTATTTGGTTTCTCAGCGTAAAGACTGACGCCTTCCAATTGTATTGCACTTATGTTGAAATCTGAATACTATATTCGACACTAATCTCACCCATGGGTTATTGTACAGGTCACGCACTACTTCGAAAGCAGATTCATTTGGGACCAAAATCGAATACGTGGCGCATTCCGAAGACATCTCAACTGGAAAATACTGCAACATTTACAATTTCAGCAGTATTTCTCTCATAAAATCCTTCTCCGAGAATGAATTTCGTGCTGTCGCTCGAATTATGTGAATTATGTTTGCTTAAGACAGTATTTTCTCGCCCATCGTCAATCTTCTCCTCATTGTCATTCGTCAACAATGGGGGTGGTAAATCATGGAATCATGCATGACCCATAGCTCACTTGTGCTACGGATTATAGAGATCACACATGACGTGGGCGGAGGTCGAGGGCTTTGTAACTCAACACCCCGTCGGGAAGTGTTCTATGAATAGAAAATGTTCGAGTGGAGTAGCTTCAATATTTGCCACTTCATCGTCTCAAAAGTGGAATATTGGTAATGTAAACGATATCAATATTAGTATTAAATAGTAATATTGATCTCCAAGTTTCTTGAAACTTTGGTTTTTCATTAGTTGGTCAGTCAAAACGTCTCTAAAAGTGAAACTGTTCCAGTACGACGTCCCGACCAAATCGTCGTTTTTGGAGACTTCTGGTGGCTCTAAGGCTTTATTTGCCACGTTTGAGCAACAAGGGCACAGCATCGTTGTCAGAATCCCTCATCAGGGAGGGGGGTCGAATAGATATGAGAGAAAGTTTTCCTCTTGATGAGAAAATATAGAAAATTTTCCTAGTAGTTTTCCTGTTGGTGATTTCTTGAGCATTCCCGGGTCGAAATTAAAGCCTGTGACCCCTTCACCACTGCCCCCCTCCTGCTCCTTTGCTGACACGGCCCAGAAGCTACCACACAACCTACATACTATTTGCAATAGTCTTGAATTATAAATTAACTGGTGCATAAAGCGACGTCCCTTCGATCGCAGCTTTTTTTTCAGAGCAAAAAACAACGAGAAATTGGAAACTTCGAGAAGTGTATGCTGTAAAGCAAACTCAGGAGAGGATTTCAGGGAAGATAAGGGGGTGGTACCACATGAGGAGGTTTCGAAGAAGGGCTGGGGCAGGGTCGTACTGACATCGCCTCCACGCATGGCATGCTGGCCCAGTTTCGGGTAATCTGCTCAGCTCGCAAGCCACTCAAACTTCTTAGCGCGCACGGGACGGCAAATTGGGAACCGAACTCGGCCTAGGCAGGGTCAAAGAGCGCCTCGACTTTTAACACCCGGTCCAGCCCTATTGGCACGAAGGCACCCACCAATTCATAAGCCCTACGAATCTTGTCATGAAAGTAGAGAGTGGAGCCCGCATGTGCCGAAAAGGTGGTGTGTTCAGAGGGCGAAGACGTCTCATTCGTCTTATTTAGTTGCCATCATTCCAAAATCTATCGGGCGGGTCCAGCCGAGCGTGGTTTTGGAAGCGGCCCCAGCTCTCTTTCCATGGCCGTTGTGGTTTTTCGAAGCGTTTAGGTAGGTGATGGAAAAAGGGTTGGTGCAGCGCCAAAACCAACACACGTCCTCGATCGACTGCAGTGATACAGCGACCTCACTTTTTGCTGATTCTGCTAACTCTGGCTCGCAGTCGTGCAAGCTGCGTTCATACTTTGGGGCAGCGTCCACCAGCGCAAATCACTTTCGAGCGTCCGTGAGCGTCAGCTACCACGAAATTATAAATATCGATCTAGATAACGACACGTCTGCCAGCGTCTACCAGCGTCCGCCAGCGACCATAAGCGTCTCGATGGACTTGGAAATATGGTTATGGTCTAGCGTCCACCAGCGTCCACTGGTCACCACCAGCATCTATACCGCGGTCATTAGTACGGTTTTGTGTAGAAACACGGTGCAGTTGCACACAGCATTACTTCACGACGCCTAATCCTGCTGTCTCCTCCCTCCTACTTCCCCATATTCTACCAGCAGTCCCCCATGCTCCCTTCTCCTGATCGCTGGTGTATGTTGATGGATCCATGCTTTCCTAAATCCCTTGAGACGCTGTTGGTCGCTGGCGGACGTTGAGACGCTGGTCTGGTAGACGATGGCCGTTCGTTAGACAGCTATGCTTTTCTGGTAGCTAACGCTGACGGACACTCGAAACGCTGATTTTCGCTGGTGGACGCTTCTGCAAAAGTATGAACGCAGCCCATGAACGCAGAAGAACAAGCGCACAGTTATGGCACCTATTGTGCACGATTTTCTGCCACCAGCAACTAAAAATCACCTGTGCACGTCTGGATAAACAACCACAGTGAAGACGAAATTGTTACTCTTTATTCGTAAAGCAGTTTATTTAATCGTATAAATTGTTGTATAACATAAGTTGCAAGATCACACGTTGTAAGGCGTTTAGATGGACACTAACAGGTAATTCGACAAGTCTTTTAAAAAATATCACAGTAGTACGATAACGGACCACGTTGCAGTTGTAGTACAACACGTAGGAAATTGTGAGTGTTAGACCGCAAGAGATTTTTACAAGATAGAATGCCAGATATGCTACATAGCTGCACAAGCTTGACGTTTTAAACAAGCTGTTCCGTTGAGAATCCAAAAAAAAGAAATGAGCGAAATGGAATGAGTTATGGAAAGTGGTAGGTTGAAGCGGGTGACGATAGCACGGAAAATTAGCGATAGGAAGGGATTTCTTTGATACTTTTAACACTTAACATTCATGAGCGCAATATTGTCGTATTGTGGTGCTCCAGTATGGAAAAGATGAATGATACTGTAGAATACTGTACAATCTCCGCCATTATAACCACTAGTGTGCAGAGCCAACTTGGCTCAACTCGTTCACGCTGAAAGATGAAACTTTTTAATCTGATATAAGTGGCAAATGTATCGAAGGCATAAGGCACTATAATACTCGGTCAAAGATGGTAGCAGGGGTGCGATACAGAGGGGAAAAGGAAAATGGCGAAAAGGCGAAGTGAAACGGTCAAAAGCCTGCAAAAAAAGCCTTCGTCCCACACGACTCAGAAAGCAATTTCGGACGACTTTCCCGTTGACATCGTGCCACACGGCTACGGTAGATACGGCTGCATGTACGTGCTCATATATCCATGCAGCACTGCGCCCGCCTCATGTCAATCCCTTCGCCACATAGTTGACTTCGCAAACGAAGTAATACGAGCAGCAGGTACGGTCTCCAATTCTGGGCTGGAGGAGACGGGCGAGAGAATCGTAATTTGCCGCGCGCGGCGATGGGCGCGGCGCTTTCAACTCGTGTTAAGCTGTCGACTGCAACACCGGATTTAATGTAGACCGCGACGTCGTAGACCACTCATGACTGATTTTCGGTTTCTGAGTTGCCCCTGTTGTCGCATTTTCTACTTGAAACCATGGTCACTTGCAGACGTTCGAGGCCGTCGCACGCGATGCCACCAGCGCGCCGCGAATAACAGATTCTCTTGTCCACATACCCGTAGGCTGGCCGTCAGCGCCGGGTGGGCATTCCACTTCGGTATTTTGCTCCAGATAGGACGCGGATGATCATTACCCTTCCATGGAAGGCGTCACGCAGCGCCTGCTGAGACTGGAGCGCCGAAGTTTGTGTTCTGTATACCGTATTAACCCCACACGTCCTGGGGGACTTATCGTCGCACTTGCTTTGAGTTCTTGGCCTGATACGCGCCATTTTTTTAACTGATTTATTCAGTTTCCGTAAAGCACAATGGCTTACATGGGCAAGCTTTCGCGCCTGCGAACCTCGTATCAAGCGCATTCTACCTATTTTATGCAAGTCGCCTGCACGCCCTTAAGTTTTTATCGCAAGCCTGCCTAGAGGGGGCAAAAACACAGTTTTCGCACCCTTCGCTCACGGATTATTTGAAGTTAATTGGCAAGACACTTGGCCAAATACTTCATTGCTAATGGGAAATGAGGTAATAGCGCACCCAGAGAGCTATCCATACGCCCTATATCTTGATATCGTGAAATTTCCAAAACTGTGTACCATTTCTTTCGCAATGCGTTTTCCTTTCTTTGCAGCAGGGACTTCGATAAAATTTAGAACGATAGGGGGGGGGGGAGAATTCCTCTGGTAAAGAACCTTATAAAGTGGACTATTATAGTATTCAAGTCAGAAGAATAATATCCAATATCTGGCAACAAACACAGCAGACTCACGAGTGGCCAAATTTGATATGAATTCCAATGAAAATGACACCAAGGACGATCGAGAGCGATCCAACCACCATATAAGCGATTCCTAAATTCAAAGCGAATACAGAAAAAGTCAGAGGTTACTGTCAGGTGACGAAACATACTTACCAAGGAAAGAATTTTTGGCACCGGCCCAACTCGTTGTACTGAGTACAAAAGATTTTCGTCCACCGAAAACCGCCACTGGATAATCTGAAGAGGAAAACTCTACATCGGCTCTAGAAATCGATCACCTGTCAAGCTTCCACAAATTTATGCTAGCACTCAATAGAGAAAAACGGAATAAGCAAATCTTTCAACTGAAACAAACTTGTAGTAAAAAAGCAAAATTGGTGACTCAATTGGTCGTACTGCTTAATACTCACTGGAGTGCACAGTAACTTGGTACTGGCCCGCTGGTAAGCCTTCACGGAAACGTCCTCCAGCCAAAGGATTCTCGCTCGTACGATCCAACAGCCTCCAGAGTTTGCGGAAATTCGGAAGCGCAGCCGTACGCATCCATACAATTAGGTCCACGTTTTCGAAACCATCTTCCATACACGGCTCGACTTTCCAATTTGGAGGCTTGACTGTTCCCTAAAAGCCACAGCAATAACTAAAAGAACAACAGATCAGTGGCAAAGAATGAGTAAGCCGCATAGCAACGACTACTAAAGAAGATGTGCTGCGTCTTCTGGTTGTTCTCTACTGCTGAGTGCGTTTTTCTCTACAGAATCTGCACCTCAACGCAAAGAAGTAGGCAGCAGTGAACTACTTTCGTTACAGGGCTTCAGTCGAGTGTTCTCTCGCTGTAAGAGCCTAGAGATATATCCCGATCGCATTCTTTCGCCAAGCATTTCATTTGAAGGGAAGAAAATAAGGCTACGTTCGCACTTTGCAGCAACGTCCACCAGCGACCAGCAGCGTCCACGCGACCATCAGCGTTTTGAGCGTTTGTCAGCGACCAGGAAGTATAGATAGAGATCTAGCGAACGGCAGCGTCTACCAGAGCCCACCAGCGCCTCGAAGGACTGGGAAAGTATGGACATTGATTCAGCGTCTACCAGTGTCCGCCAGCGACCAGGAGCACGGTATTGTGTAGTAGTATGATGCGGTTGCACACGCCGCAATGCCACACGCCTAATCAAGCTGTCCGCTACATCCTACTTCCCTATACTCTCTACTCTTGGCCGCTGGTGGACGCCAGATCAATACCCATACTTCCTAGTAACTCAAGAAGCGGATGGTTGCTGGCGGACGCTGCAGTTCCTAGATCGATATCTATACCTTCCTAGTCGTTGACGCTGACGAACGCTAGAAACGCTAATGATGGCTGGTAGACGCTGCCGTAAAGTATGAACGCCTCAGTGGAAGGAAGACAGTAGGAAGGGAATAAAAGGAGGAAGAAAAAGGAAACATGAGGGAGCTTTCGTGGCTGACAAATATCTTAACATCGAACTTCTTCAGACCATTTTCCTCTTACTGGGACAAGCTAAAAGGGAGCACTCACCTTGAACGCGTCACAAAGTGTACCACCCGCCGGAATAGGAGGATTCTTGAACTTCTTGTTCTTGTCAACATCCCAAAGAACCTAAAGTAACCATTCAGGTAGGGCGCATAGGAAATTACAAGTTTCGTAACTACATACCCCATCTTTCGTTACCGGTACAGCTATCCTCGAGCCTTTTTCAATATAGATGAGGTCGTACGTATCTGAAATATAGCTTTTACAATGGGTCTTGCCGTTTGATAAATGAATACCTGTGGAAAGTACGAAACCACAACACTAAATGATAGCTCAAAGGGAGTGGACACGATTGCTGAGGAAGGGCGCTTGTCGCCAACGTCATTGGTGAAAGGGCTGAGTGGGGTGTGGCCAAACGCCCTTTCGCAGCCCTTCTGCCAGTAACACTGGCAACAATCGGCCGCCTCCAGCAATCGTACCCACTGCCTTCAAAACATAGAAACACTGCTTACCATTGAATTTTGAGTTGGCTATTGCACCACATGGAGCTATCGGAACCTTGTTGTCATCATAAGCAAATGGCTCACAGTCAGAAACCTCCTAAAACGGTAGGGTTTAGAATTTTGGAAAACTTGCAAAAAAGCAAAACAGCTCTCGCAGTCAACAGACAGAAGCACCCAGCGAAGACCGAGCACGTTCCGAAAACTTGACAGACACAAACGTATAACGTGTAATAGAGGCAGTAACTCACCATAAGATTTCCAAGGTACTGCTTGTCGTTTCTGCTCTTCACATAGCGCCGATGATTTTGAAAATAGTTTTCCAAATAGTAGTAAAAATAAACATCACCCTGAAATTGGTTATTGAGAGCATCATCGCATAAACGTATAGGGTCACACCACACCAGTAATTTAGAGCCTTTTGCCCCTAGACGTAACAAATTTCGTCTACAACACGTTAGCCATCGGCGCAAACTGATAAACAGCCCAGAAGTTTAACTACAACCGAAATGGTTAAGAACTAAAAACTTCACGGCGCACAGCGCGCTGACTGCAGGGGCGGCGACAGCAAACCACCATGGCGCTCTCCTCCCCTTTACTGCTTCGAAAAAAGTGCAAAAATTGATTTTAAACAGAGTCAACGAATATCTACTTTTTGATGAAACGGGTCCATACTTCGCGATTCGATCGTTTGGATCGTGCAATCGGACCTCCAGCGTCTGGACGGCATGACTACAACTAGGGCTCCACTGCCAATCGGTGGACCGCTGCTAGGGCATAATTCAAACCGGACAGCTTTATTACACGGTGTAAACGCGGTCCACGATCCGGTTGCTTAAGCGATCCGATCGCTTGGATAGGATAGCGCGATCGGATCGCGAAGTGTGAGCGCTCTTCTAGATTTTTGTAGACTCCCCTTAGCGCGTAAGCTCTGGTATGGGCGCTGATTCCGCGCGCGCGCATGATCAGCATTAGCTTTCAGGTTCGTGCGCCGAGAAACTGCTTTGAATGAGAAAAGCCCAAGGGTTAGCGTTTTACTGATGCAGTATAATGGAAGAAAAATATGAAAAGCAACACACCTGCATGTCTTTGGTGACGTTAAATGTCAGAGTACATTGACTATCAATGGCGCAATTCGTGTAATCGAGCACGTACTCATTCACTGGACAAACTATCTCCAGCCGTTCAGCTACACACAGGGAACCTGGAATTCAAAGGCACGCCCTGCGTTGAAAATAGTGGGTCGTTCTATCTGATACTGATGGCAAGGTGGTAGATAATTCAGTAATGAAGAGAAAAGCAGAAAAATAGCCCGAAATACCCTGTGTAGATTTCCATGCCTAATCGAGTTTGTACGCGCATCAGGCAAGAAGAGGTCACGGTTGGACGAGTTGTCATTTGTTGGTATCAGCCTTTCTCCTCATCTTTTCTTTCGAATGGAAAAAGTCAGTGGCAAAACAACCGCACCATCAGGAAGCCTCTAGAAATAGAAGGTGGGGGTTGTATTGAGTGGGCGGAGCGCTGCCTTCGTTGCGAACGGTTGGCGCACTTCTCACGTAGTTTGGGCGCGAATGCGGACGACCGCCCAATGCTGCGACCCAACAGTGCCCTACGATTGAATCGTCACAAACCCCGCCTGAACGGCAAGTAAACGCGGAATGTGCTTTTAGGTTCAACAACCAATCAATCAATATAACAAAAACATGAAACGAAACTGGCCTACCTCCTTCAGACGCCAGATATAATGCAACACCTATGGGAATAAAGATGACTCCAATTCCGATGACAGTTGGAATGACGGTCGATGCTGTGAGAATAGGTTGCCATGCTGGCAACTGCTGTTGTCGTAACTTACTGGCTGCAAAAAAGGATACTCTGAAGAAGGACGGAAAACAAGATGGAAATATTCTAAAACAACGTTATCACTTGACACTTTGGGCTAGGATTGACCTGATTCTTTGACGACATCCATGCGAGTATATTCATGAATGAAAAGTGAGCAAATGAGACTTACCGACCGATAGTTATCAAACAAAAACTCTTGCCATAACAGATAATCCTTATTTTTCCGTACTCACAAAGTATAGCGGTGTTTCCTCCACGGGAAGTCAGATTGCTGCGTAAACTTTCGAATGAACAAGATAGATATGCTCCCAATTCCAGAAGGTAATTTGTATTTGCCATAGGAGATGAGGTCACCTGCGAGCAACACACATTTTGCTCACGCGATTGTCACTGAGTTCGACAACCAGACAAACTTCCTGCCCCTCCTGACTCAATTCGATGAAAACCAAACAGTACTGATGAGTTAAGCAAAAGCGAAATTCGAGTTTCATTCGCTCGCTTCCAACCGAGAGGATTGCCGATGTGGTGAACGTGCTAGTTCAAGTTACTCCAGGATAGGCACGAATACAGATCGATCCCGGACGGTTGCTGGTAGGATCGTTCAATCCAATGGAAGTCGAGAAGTTGGCAGACCGGAGAAATCGGTAGAAAGGATGAGAATCATCTGCAGAACCCTCTTGTGGACAAGCACCCTTCAGTACAGATCAAGATACAAAAGTCGGACGGAGAGGGGCAGGATCATTTGCCAGCTCCTCCGTGTACAAACCCCTAGTCAAGGTTTAGATTCGAATGGGGGCCATATCTTCTCTGCGGGACTATCCCTCGGCGACGATCGTCTGCGCTCTGGGCGTGATGTTTCTAGAGGAAGGAGACAAAAGCGCGGCCAAAGCCTTCCCCCTCCCTATTTAGAGTCCATATCAAGTCGCATAAGGGTATGTGACAAGAGGGTCGTAATTTGCCGCACCATTGGACGTCGCGTGCGACGTTGCGTCCGCTGATGACCTCAATTTTAGGTCGTATTGATTGAGAGTAGACAATGTAGTATCAGAAATAGACACAAGTGTCTACCATGTCCTTGTCTACATGAAAACCGATGATTCAATCGAAAGGGTAGTTCGAATTAAGGAAACGTTGTGCCCACTTCCACGCAGCACGAAGCGGCAATTTAAGATTCTCTTGCCCGTCTCCCATCGCATGACCTGTGCCTCGTCTTATGCGACACCACAGAAACGAAGAATTCGCCAAAAGGAAACTATACGTATCGATCTGGAGAGCAGAATGTTAAAATTTGCAAAGAAAACTAGATAGGTATGGACTCGTCCCCAATTCGTTATTTCCCCGAAGTAAGTCGGGTCGTATTTAGCCCTTGGTGTTCCCTTTCCTTCTTCCACCTCTCCTTTCGTTACCATCAGTATATCGAGATGGGAGTAGTACCTTACGCAAGATAGATAAATATAAGGGATCGTACCCAGTGATAGTTTTTTTTCAATGCAATTTTCGCTTGATCGTGCACGAGTCCTTCTAACAAGTTCTACAAGTCTATAAACGCGACCCAGGAGAGTCATCGCCTTCGACGTGGCGAGTGAGAGTGATTAATGCCAGTCTGAAGCACACGCACGGTAGGTCATCTCAAATTTACCCGCCTTTTAAGATCTTCCATCCTATATTTTTTCACACTATTGACCTACTCTTTCCTTTCACGCATTCCTTATGGATGCTTTCTAGAAATTCTTTGTGACGTGCGATTGATATATCCACACTCAATATCCCGGACATGGAGAAAGCGTAGCATGTGCTACGAAACACGTATCTTATGCCATGTGCATATGAGGTATGCAGCCACGCCTCCTACCCCGAAATACGGAGGGTATTGCCACCAATTATGAATGGTGATGAAAGTATATTCGCCCATGATCCCATTTTACCATGAATGCGATATACACGGATGTCGGTCTCTAGAACCACGCGACGTCGCGTGCGCGGCAATCTGCGAACACCGCGGGCTTGCACTGGAGCGCATGCTCACGAAAACTCGTTGCGTTATTGAATTAGATTGTGTTCGCTTCAGTTTCCAGCCACGCTCTTCACTTGGTTACGACCTGAATTCTCAGAACACAACTAAAGTGGTTACATAGCACTTATGATGCAGAGAAACCGGCACAGATTCTGCTCGCGATTTAATTTAGCTTATGAGCTGATCCCCTAGTCATTTGACAGTCAGCATGCTTTCTGTACAGCATACAATCTCGGATACTGTAGCTACTATAGTTTTGAGGTACGATGGACTGTCCTGCTGAGAAAATAGCAGCGAAATGTCACTGCCGCGATAACAATACCATCGCAAACGCGCCAGGGCACATCACTGGTTGGGGATTTTGGTCGAATCCGTACGACACCCCCCCCTTTTTTTTTTTTTGGGGGGGGTTGGTACGATCCCCCTCCGACCGTCTGTCCCTCCTCATCGAGCTGTCGAGCGGAGGAAGGGGGAGGAGGGGGGGGGGGGTAAATGGCACATGTGAAACAGGAAAAGCCGCGAGAAAAATACGATCCCTCCCTTCTACCAATCCTCAGATTATCTCCAACTTCCTCCTGCCACTTTTCCAAAATTTCCCTACTTTTTCCCAAAATTTTGCTGTCGACGGGGAGGGGGTATATGGGGTACAGTTACAGGGAGGGGCCAAAAAAAGTCACTTCGACCGAGTCACATATCAGCAAAGTTTTCGCAGCCCAGGCAAAAGACGTGGATACGAGTACCAGGACGGAAGATAACCAAGATGTTCCTCGATAAGCAGGAGCAGGCTCTCACCCATCACCTCATGTACACCAAAATATGAGGTCATCTTCAGTCGCAGCCTGACTGGAGAAGACCTTTGGAATTCATGTCACCTCCAAACAGATACGAAACTTCTAGTATGGAGTCACTCATGGATAGCTACCTGAAGACTAGTACTCTCGATCTGGAAGACCTCCAACATCGAGCAGCTTCGACAACGTCGCCACGGTCTAGGACATCATCTTCGCCGCAGTCGCCAAGGCGCGGGTTGATGGTAGACCGGACGTACATGGAATGGAAAGACCAATATTTTTTCCCTCCGGACTGAGGGTGAGCGCTAGCGGTTACATCGAGCAACTCGAGAAGAACATCCTCCTCACATGTTGTCGCCCGTACCTTCTTGGAAACTTTCTACTGCTACAGCATTGGGTGCCATCACATGGAATTTAAGGGCGTTGGGGAAACTTTCGCCTACTTGGAATGGAAGCCTGAATACCCTTAATTACCCATTTCGGGCGGAGTTCAATAGGGTGGTCTACAGCGGCGGAGAAGTCAACGATCTCGCTGAACTCAGGTACCGACTCACGGTCGTGTGGCAGAATCTCTCGATGGCGCTCCGGAAGAGGCTGTGGCGGAGTATCATGATAGTATTTAATATGCTCTTTGATATGCTGGTAGAAATGTCCGATCAGAATCTAATAAAGGGTGACTTATAGCGCCTCGGAAGCTAATGAAGTGATCTTTCTTGCCCCCCCCCCCTGTGTAGTACACATGAAACAGGAAAATCACGATAAATCAAATACCTCTCCCACAAGGCCAAAAGGCCAAACCCGTGAAAGAGACAAGAAAATTCTACTATCAAAATGAATTTTTCTCAGCCCAAATACGATTCCTCACCCGGCCACCAGATACGACCCCCCTGCTGGGGATTCCCCAACAACGATGTGCCCCGAAGCGCGCGCCTTTCGCGATCGTACGGTATTTGCAAGTGTCGCGCGCGACGCCGCGTGTTCCTACCGTTTCCTACCCGATATATGGTAGGGTAATGTTACTGGGGATGGGCGCTTTCAGGAGCACAATCGATGGAGATGGAGATGGATGTGGCGAGATGAAGAATGAAGAGATCAGAGAGAAAGATCATTCCTCCAGATACAAGTGACAGGAACAGCTATACAGCGGTGAACAAGCGACTCACATAAGTATTAAGGTAAAGAAAATTACGGCATACGCGGCATATGGCTGCTCAATCACCTTATTCAACGCGCTTTACCGAGAAAACGGTCTCGCTGGACTTGTCACTTTGCTCGACGACTTTGTCTGTTTCTGGGTGGGGCTCGATTAATTCTGGCCTATTTTGTCAGTTTAAGTACGTATTCCACCAACTGTCGACCATACTTCGGACAACCTCTTGATCCCAGCGGATCTTTGAAAATGAGCAACAATGAGTGAAACATTCCCGAATTTCTGTCTGACTTTCCGTTCGGCAAAAAGACGTTCAGAAAAATAACAAGTCCATCAAGACTGTTTTTACGTGGAGCGCGTCGAACAAGATGTATGTGGCCCAAACCGTACTGCATCTTGCTTTACGCCTAAATGTTCAGTGAGTCGGATGTTCGCTACTGACTAATCGTTCCTGCATATAAGTTTCATGTGAGAATAATAAACATTCGCTCATTCTACTGTAAGATTCACTTTCCATTCACATTCTACATTCGATATATAGAGTATGATACTACTCATTCCGAATAACTGTTGCTGTTCAATGTTCTATGCTTTCACAATGAACATTTTGCACGTTGTACATAGCACACCATTCACAATACGACGACCACGGCACCACAAGGATTCCGGACATGGAGAAGCTGGAGAATCCAACAATCCTAAGGAACCAGAAAGCAGCAATATCAACAGTTTGACGTATCATGAGTACACGCATCATCACCTCAGTGACTTCGACTTCGCCTTATTCCGACAATGTCCACGACAATTTCCAAGGTGTTGATTCAGCCCTCATTTCTAGAATAGATCTGCACAGTTTCTCTGGTGATCTCTCAACTTCTTACGATGAAAAAGGACCGCTATGATCTTTTTAGTAAATAAAATAGTTGTGCGTGGCACAATAAATCATTCCACGTTGTAATGTTGTTGAAGGATTTCACAATGTAATGAAATTAATGTTTGGTATCTCATGTGTAGAGATTATCCCTGCCATACCCCGCTCACAGTTTACATTTTAGCACAACACTGTGTTTTTCTGCTGTCGGTTTGGCCTGGTGGAGTTCATTCTAGTTCATTTCAAATAATCGTCTTCAACCCACTCCAGCACAGGCCCTCCTTCCCATAGGAAGTCGGTC